TCAGTAGGGAATGGACAAGCTGTCCATTGGACTGTGTCCAATGCTCTAAAAGTATTGCAAACAGTCCAAAACAACTATTCTCAAACTTCTCCATCAACTTTAATGTTTTGATGTTTTTCTTAAACTCATGGAATTGGTTGATCCTAAATCTCACACTAATCTTGGACGGGAAAAATTTGTGCTTTCTTAGAAAAGTCCTGAATTTATACGTAGATGTGTCAATCGCCTTTACAAACATAGGAATTGATAGAACATCTTGGTCACCTTCACCTGCTCCATGTGTTTCACTTTCCAACTCATATTAACCATCTTAAGGTTGTTCATTATCTTCATCATCATCATCATCATCATCATCATCATCATCATCATCATCTCCTCCTCCTCCTCCTCCTCCTCCTCCTCCTCCTTCTTCTTCAACCTCCTGAGCAACATCACCATTTTCATCCACCTCTGGAGCATCATCACTATTTTCATTCTCTCCCCTCCTAAAGCTTCATCTACATTGTCGTTTTTTCTTTGACAATTGCTTTTTTCAGAAACCTATTCTTCCATTTGATTTGTGCTGAATTTATGTGAATTGCTTTTTTATTGTACTTGCACCTTGAGTTCTGTTTTCCTTAATTTTTCCTAAAAGTCAAACCTTTCACTTCCTCATCAACACCATGTAATGTAGGGGTGGGCGTTCGGTATTTCGGTACGATATTTAATAACTACGGTTCAGTACTTCGGTATTCGGTATATTAATTGTGCATACCAAATACCGTATCGAAGTAGTTCGGTATGGCTCAGTATTTTCTTATTTGGTACGGTACGGTTTCAGTATCATACCAAAGTCTTTCAAATCTCCCAAGATTATGCCTAACGTCTTTTCTGCTGAGAATTCAACCTCTTTGTTCATGATTAGATGATGCTAGCATGTATTCTTCCTACACACGCATGTGCACATATATGTATTTTCTCTTTTGATTTAATTTCATCAAGAGCTGCTTTGAGACCTCATTTTTTCATGATTTGTTTTTGTATCCTTTCAAGAAATGGTATAGAATTCTAAATTTAGAACAAAATAGTTTATTAGCAATTCATAATGTATTGTGCAAGCTATGAAATCAACCTGTTAGCTTGTAACTTGTAAGTATTTGCATAATAAGGAATCAATCCACCTATAAAATACAAGGAACACAAAATAGTAAACCCAGGTGCCTCCAAGAAGGGCACGGATATGAGCAGTTTTAGCAGCAGCAACAATGTTGGATTTTTTTTAGAGAAGTCTAGGTTAGAAAATAGTAAGGGAAAGGGGGTAAGAGCAAATAGCCAGATACTGGACTGCCCGTAAGTCTGCTTGAGCTCTAAGCCTCTAAGGGATTAAGGAACCCGACCCAATAGTATTTTTTGATATAACCTTATTTAATTTGACATATGACGTGAAGAAATAAAGCTCCGCCTGAGTATTTTAAAATACTTGTTTAAATGAGTTGAAATGTGCGAATAAAATCTAATAGAATATTAAGATTGGAAATACAATTCGATACAAATATGAATGTTTAAGTTGTCATTCAACTTCAAACGAAGTTATGTAAACAAAAGACACCGGACAAAGATCACTTTTAGCCGGCGATCGAAACTATTCACGTTCGATAGTTATAAAAGTATATAAAATTTATATATATTTTTGTATATAACATACATAAGTGTGTGTGTGTGTTATTTATATATTACTATATATTATCATAATATATATATATATATATACACTAAAATATACAAAAAAAAAACATATTGTTTGCTACTATTTTAAAAGTGGCCATAAAGTATTATTTTCCGAAAGAAACCAACGACGTAGAACGATAAATCTATATATATATATATATATATATATATATATATATATATATATATATATATATATATATATATATATATATATATNTATATTAAAGCAAGAAAGTTACCATATATAATTGACATTATGTTTAAGCCAAGTGACAAGCTAATAAATATCAATAATATATGGTAACTTTATTCTATATTTGACTATTTTAGTTAAATACAAATATAATATTATATATATATACACACACACACAAAAAAAAAATTTGAATTAAAAGATAATTTTGAATTTATAGATAAAGTTCTAAAATTCGAATTTAAATTAAAAATAAAATTTATCTTTTTTTTATCATGTTATCATACTTAATTCGGTTAATGATCATATGCAATCATGTTAGGAACTTTTGTTATTTTTTCTAATTATTTAAATACTACTTCGCCTCTAGCAAAAAAAAAAAACTACTCCATATAACTATAAAACTCTTTCACATTTAAAATCCTATAAGTATAGTTCTTTGAAACACTGTAGCTAGATTTGAATAAAACGAAATTCTTTTAAAATAAATGTAATATATAGGGTACACGTCTATGTTTATCTAAATAACAAAAAAGAGTTTACAAAACCAAATAAAAGTTTACTTACATATATAATAAAGTAAACATACATGCTGGAGAAAGAAACATCACAAAATCAGTCAATATTAAAAAAAAAAAAAAGTTGTTTCTTTTTTCTTCTTGAAGAATATTTGTTTGAAGAGTCAATTTGCATAAATGGAACAAATAACAAAACTTTGTCTATACAATTGCTATTATTAATTTCAATTTAGCACATTCAAGGAATTGAAGATTATAAGCTGAAACCCCTTCATTTAGCTGTAGTCAAGCCAATATTGCAAGGGTATAATATTTTTTTCGTTGAAGAATATTAGTTTTCAATCATTAGATTATGTGAAAGGTTTTTTTTTTTTCAAACACAACAAGAGATAAATTGGTTTCTAATTGATAGTTTCTATAGCGACTTTTAAGTGTAACAAAGAGTATATATAAAGAAAAAATTGGTATGACGTGAAATATTTTTTTTTTAAATGTAAACAAATTATTTCGAAAAAACTCTTTAGTTTTTTTAATTCAAAGATAATAAAAAGATAAGATATTTTTGAACATTAGTAGAGAGTTTTAAAATTATTATAATAGAAGTTATATCATGGATAAACTCCAAAATCGAAATCTTATGATATATTTACATCATATCCGGCCATATTTATTGTTTACTTTTTATAGCTAATATAAATAGATGATATACCGACAACACACGATTATACACATATTATATATAAATTACACATCATTCAATTTTTTAATTTAAGTGGTCGCGTGAGCACCTCTTTAGGCTGATTAGATAAAGCCAAAAGAAAAATATGAAATAATTTCAACCAAAGACTAAAAGTATAATTAAAGTTCATAAGTAGACAATTTTTATTAAAACTCATCCTTTTATAGTGAAATAAATTAATTTTTTATAACAACAGAAATAATGACATAAAAAATAAGATAAAAGAAAATAAATATTAAAAGAAATGTTAGAAAGATCTAAAAACGAGAAATAAAAGATGACAACAAATTTCTTCTTATGTTTCATTTTTGTTGAGTATAAAAAAATTTGAAACTTAATCTCATCGATTTCAAATATATTTATTTTTCAACTCAAATACATAGATTATAAGATAAGGATATCTTAGAATATTTTTTTTTAATTTACATTATGTATCGTTTTTAAAAAATCACTATTACTAACAAACGATATGGTATTCGAATTTGAATTGGAATGCAATTTGAGTAGTTTGCATTGAGGTTAAGCCAAGTATGGTGTCGAAAAATAAATTACTTGACAATTTTAAGACAATATATGCAATGTTTTATAATAATAATCAACTAATTTAACATTTAATGATTCAAAGAACAATTTTTTTTATATATATATAGGGTATTAAAAATTCAAATTCTGGGGCTAAAGATATCAATAAACTTAAAGTGAATTCATACTGAAATAAATCCGGCCAAAGAATCATTTAAATTTTTAGATAGCCGATTAAAGTGAATTTTAAATTAAGGATAATATCTTCACTTGCATCATTATAAAGATAATCATTATTGTAATATATATAAAGTTTTAGAAATTGAAATTTTAAAATAGAAATATTTTTTGAAAGATAAAATCATACCAAATAAGAGTTCAAGTCGTAGTATAAGAGTCATGTCGTAATCAAAAAATCGTTTATATCGTGTCAACCTTTGTGCTTTGCCATAAATATGAGTTATTATTTCACTTTGTGGCTATTTTTAGGTTCCAATGACACCTATGAGAATAGTGCAAAAGTAAAATTATCACTACGAAAATTGAGAAAATGTTAGTCTTTTTTCATGTAGTGTTTCTTAATTAATATCTGACTATTATCTATAATTATTTAGAAGGTTTAAATGTTAAGGTTGTTTACATATAATTCAAATAACTCAGATATTTAACATGTTTAATATCAAATATCAAAATGGAGTTAAAAAAAATTCACTAGCTAAAGAATTTTTTATATTTTTAGATAGCCAACTAAAATGAGTTTTGAATTAAGAATAATATTTTCAATTACATTATTTCAAAATAATTATTATTGAAAATAATGTTTTAGAAACTGAAATTTTAAGAAAGAAATATTTTTTAAGAGATATCAACACACCAAATAAGAGTTCAAGTAGTAGTAAAAGAGTTAAGTCTTATCCAAAGAGTCATTCATTGTCTCGACATTTGATTGTTTTGCCATAAATATGAGTTATTATTTTGCTTCCTGACTATTTTAAGGATCCAATGACACCGACAAGAATGATATCAAAAAAGAAAAATAGAAAAAAAGGTTAATTTTTTTCATGTAGTTAATATCCAATTATTATCTATATTTACTGAAAAAGTGTAAATTTTAAGACTATTTACATATAATTCAAATAATTTAAATATTTGACATGATTAGTATCCTCGCATTTGCATTCGCGAGGGTACTAACACTAGTAATAAAACTCATTTAGGAATTATCCTAAGGAATACTGTCTTATGACACGTGTAAGAAACAGAACCAGTGGCCATAAATATCCCGTACAATAATTTTGGTGGAAAGTGACAACAATTTAGTAGTAGCACCACCACATTTCCAACTGTGTTAAAAATCTTGCCTTCCAAATGTATCAGCAGCAATAGTAAAATCCGCACACACGCACTCAGGCGGAGCTTTACTTCTCCGCTGCTATGACTGCGAAAGCATTTCTCCTCTCCCACTACAGTTGCTCTCCTCCCAAAAATTACAATTCCAACATCCGTGGAAGAAACTTCAGTTTTAGTTCTCTTTACTACACTACTGGGATCGAATGCAGGGGCGCATTTCGATTGTTTCAGTTTGGGAGCAGAGGGTTGGTTCGGAGGAATAATGATAGTTGGAAGGTGGGGGCTGATGTCAAGTCAAAGCCCTTCAAAATTGCTGAGTCGTCAGAATCGTTGAAGTTCGAGGATCCCATCTCCGATGCTTTACTGAGAAAGAAAGAAGAAGGAGATAGCTTAGAGGGTCCAGCTTGGTGGGAAGAGTTCCCAAAGCGATGGGTTATTGTGCTTCTTTGTTTCTCCGCTTTTCTTCTTTGCAATATGGATAGAGTAAGCGATTAATTTCTTCCTTTCCGTTTTAGTGGGTTTTCAGTTGGAAACTTTAATCAGATTGTGCTGTGCAGGTAAACATGAGTATCGCCATACTTCCAATGGCATCCGAATACCACTGGAGTCCTACCACTGTTGGTTTAATACAGTCTTCATTTTTCTGGGGTTATCTTCTTACTCAGGTAGGATATCCACCTTCACTCTGCTCATTATTAGTGTATCTAGCTAGTAGTTTTATTTATTTATTCTGATTATCAGAATAAGATTCTGAATTTTAAAGATAGAAACTGTCATTTTTTTTGTTCTTGCCTTAGTATTTTTATTTAATTAGCTCTCTTATTTCACATTGTCTTGCAACTCATAATGTGGCTCCTTTATACTTAATAGACTTGAGGCCCCTCTGTATTTCATTTTTTAATAAATGTGGTATTAAGCCCAGATAGCAGGAGGTATATGGGCTGACACTGTTGGTGGGAAAGCTGTCTTAGGATTTGGAGTAGTGTGGTGGTCTGTTGCTACAGTTCTCACGCCCATTGCTGCAAAGCTTGGATTGCCCTTCTTATTTGTTGTTCGAGCTTTCATGGGAATTGGTGAGGTTGGTTCTGTTCATTTTTCATTCTTATTTTCATTTTAACTCATTGAAGGGAGATCTATGCTGATTTAATTTGCAGGTCAAATGAGGTCTTTTCGTTTGGAATAATCTGGCATTATAACTCAATTCCTTGTTTCTTGATTAGCTGATTTGACTTTATCGCTTCCAGGGTGTTGCAATGCCGGCAATGAATAACATTCTCTCTAAATGGGTTCCTGTATCAGAAAGAAGTAGATCTCTGGCATTCGTCTACAGTGGAATGTATCTTGGATCTGTGACTGGACTAGCATTTTCGCCATTGCTGATACACAACTTTGGGTGGCCTTCTGTCTTCTTTTCTTTTGGTTCTTTAGGCACTGTATGGTTTGCAGTGTGGCTCAATAAGGTACATATTAATCTGTATATTCTTTTGATTGTAAAATAAACATTTATTAAGATGACTGTTTATCAAACAATGAGGATCATCTAGATGGTTTCAGGTTGTGCTATATATTTGTCAAAAGCTCCGTGGTTGCGTATATTGAATGCTTTAACTTCATTTGTAAAGAAACCATTGTGTTTGATCCTAGACATACTCAGCCAACAAACCACATCGTGCAAAATCTTAGTATTCATAAACTCGGAAGTTCCTGGTAGGCTATAAGTAGTGCTGCTTATCCATGTCAGATAATTTTCATGTAGGCATACAGTTCGCCCCTTGATGATCCTGATCTGCGGCCTGAAGAAAAGAAGCTTATTCTTAGTAGCAGTGTTTCCAAGGAACCTGTTAAATCAATCCCTTGGAAATTGATTCTGTCAAAACCACCTGTATGGGCCTTGATAGTTTCTCACTTCTGTCACAACTGGGGGACGTTTATTCTTCTTACCTGGATGCCAACGTATTATCACCAGGTAGTACTTTCACTTTCGTAAAATGTTGCTTCATTTGCTTTCTGCATAATTATGACTTACAATAATTGCTAAAAAATATGTAATTTTGGTGTAAACATGAACTTTTCTAATTCTTAAATAAGATATAAACTTATGAAAAACTTCTTCACGAGAAAGTTGCCAGACCAAAAATTTAGTGGAGATAAACATTTGACATCTTTTTTACTATTATATGATATTAGGTCCCAGTGCATTAATTTGGTTCATGAACACATGACAATTGACCAAGATCAAAGGTTCCACATCTATCTTCAAGAATAAGGTTGGACAGTTTAGGCAGTAAAGATACACTCTACCTTTTATGGTAGATTTTTGTAAGTCCAAATACATAGACAACCCGTTAAACTTGTCATGAAATTTCATTTAGACACCTCAACTGAGCCAATTACTTGTTGAACACTGAAATTACTATCAAAGTGTGTCTACCGAATACCTCACTCCTACATGGCACAATTAGTGAATCTCACTTAGAGTCAAGCGCGTGAAGCCGTGAATAACTGAAAAGTTTCTTTTTTCAAATAATTTTTTTCCTTTGACTTTCTCCTTTATCTTTCTCTTAATTTCTCAATGCTGGTTTCCTACAGATTCTCTTCAAAGATAAAACCTCAAAATTTTTAAAGATAAGATTTTTACTAAACAGTAGCATCTAAGGTTGTCCAACCCCTTTGTGGGTCCTCTGTATCTTCCGGCGACAAAGACTGGGGGTCATGTTTTCCGGTCAAAGCTTTAGCGTTAATGACGATAGAGTTGTTCGTTACTATAGTAACTGAATTTATTTTAAGCTTTACTTTAAAGGTTATTTTAATATTTACTAGTTGGCCGAGAAAACAGAGGTGGGTGTTGGGGTGCGATGGCGTCAGTCCAAGGGTGCAATAGGGAGTGGGGGCACCTAGAACTGAAGGGGATATGGCATGTCGAGGGTAAATGACGAGGGAAGTGATATGACGAATTTGTGGTTTAATCTGAATTTGATAATCAGGAAAGCCATCAGCGTCATGGTAACCCAATTTGGTGTTTGAGTTTTGTTTTCTGAGAAGTGTGATTATAGTGTGCTGTATTTTCTAAAACTTTCACGATAAGTTTCAAAAGGAAAGATGTGATTTTCATGTGGTGGTTGCAATCGTAAAGCTCCGTGTGACCTGTAGGTCTCGGGTTCTAACCGTTGAATCAGCCACTGATGCTTGCATCATGGTAGGCTGCTTACACTACACCCCTTGGTGCGTGTCCCTTCCTCGCGCCTTGCGTGAATGCAAAATGCTTTGTTCACCGGTTGTGATATGGTGGTGCTTGTGGTGGTTGAGAAGGAAGCAGGTAGGGGAGGAAGAGGCAAGAGGTGGTGGGTAGAGGTGGTTGTGGAGGGAGAAGAGGAGGGGTAGGTGTTGGCTCGGTCTAAAGAGATAATGTGCATCTTTTTTATTGACGTGGCTATCTTTCATTGGTTACCTTGCCATGTAAGCGTGATTGAGCTTCACACACTTATTTTTTTGCTGGGACTGAATTTTTCATGTTCAATAGACACAATTTTACATGATTTTAAGTGTTCAATAGGTAATAGGCTCAGTTGAAGTGTCTAAATAAAATTTTGTGACAAGTTTAAGGGTTTGTTATGTATTTGGCTTTTTTGTAATAATATTCTGCACTAGGTATTGGAAAATAATGTAAACCTTAGAGGTGAATGTGTCCTTGAACTTGTAGTGTATGTTGAAAGGTAAGTTATCAGTGCTGGATATGGAGATATGTGGTCTTTTTTTTCTAGTGCGAGAGAGAAGTCCAATGACTGTAAGGTTGTAAACAGAACGATAAAAAGCAAAGAAGGATGGTTATAGGAAGGATGATTGTTTAGAGTTTGAGAGAGCAAAGAGTGAGGGTAGGAAATTCACATGACTTCTTCCTTCTTAGGGGTCACTGTCAATATCTTGAATAGGATTAGGATCAGAGTCTTGTGTATCACTAAGAGCCGTTTGGCCAAGCTGCTAAAAACTACTTATTTTGAAAAGTGCTTTTGCTCAAAAGTGCTTTTCAAAAAGTATTTTTGTAGAGTTACAGTTTGTATTTGGCCAATTTATTTGAGAAGTACTTTTTCAATATTTGATAAGAAAATTGCGTCTGGATATTTTTTTTAAAAAGTACTTTTGAATGTCAAATTAAACAAAATGACAGTAAATGTTGAGTTTACAATTAGTATATTATTTAAAAGAGAAAAATTAATTTACATATTTATTATAAAAATTTAATTTTGATTTATTTAATTAGAATATAAAACATAAAGTAAAAATATATATTAAAGATTTTAAGCAATATGAAATACAGTTATCCAAAGAAATAATATTAGGTATCTAATATTACTTGTTGTCTATATAATAATTTAAATATCTCTAAAGTCCAAATATAATCATTCAATATAAATTAAAAATATAATTAATTAATCCAATATAAAAGAAGAGATCTATTTATAGTGGAGAGACTATTTCAAAGAAAAATAAGAAAAGGAAAATAAAAATACAATGGAAATAAAATAAATAAAAAGGGATGGTTGAAACAAAAAAGGAAAAGAAAAAAAGCTAAATTAAAGGATAACTTGGAAAATATAAATTTATATTAAAGATACTTTTGTCTTCAAATAATTAATTTTCTGCTTCTGCTTCTTAAAAGAAACCAGAATTTGTAGCTTCTTCCCAAAAGTAGAAAAACTGCTTCTTGTGCTGCTCAAAAGCACTTCTCTATCTTGGCCAAACACATCAAATTTTCGAAAAAATACTTCTAGCCTCCCGGAAGCTTGGCTAAACAGGCTCTAAATCATCAACCGTGATGCTTAATCGTCATCCCACATTTAATGATTTCTACTATTAAATTATTGTTACTACTTAGAGATGGTCATAATTTTATTGTCTTTTTACTATTATTAAACTTGTTTAAGCATGTCTTGTTTACCCTGGAATCCGGATAACAATTGAATTTATGTGGGGTTTTAAGGATCCCTGAACTAAAAGATACAAAAGGTTTGGATTGAGGAAAATAAAAGATAAAGACTCAACAGTTGCTGCTAAAGTAAATAATCGCAGAATATAATATTGCTTAGAACAATTGTGCTTGATAGCGTACAAGAATTGAGAGAGATGGTACCGTAGTGTAATGGTTTTCGATCCCCTCTTTATGGGGTCTTCTCCCCTTTTATACATTCTGATTAAGGGTAAAAATAAGGTAGGTAAATTAATTACATCGTGGATCCCTGTAATTACGCCTTAATGGCCTGAAGTGGTTGAGAAAATCACGTTTGGGCGAGATATCCGGCGACGCTTGGTTATCCGTTACGAGTCCGGCTTCCGACCTTGTGTGTTTCTCCATCCGGTGGTGACTCATATCGAGCTCTGCAACGGTCTCGAAATGACTCGACCTCGGTTGTTGACGTGGCCGTCGTTCTACCTTGCATCCAGGTCGGGTTCGATGGCCCCGACTTGCCCCGGACCGGACCCAACCCGGTCGGGCTCAAGCAAAAAGGGTATCACCCAATACAGATAGTCCCCTCGTTTATTAGAGAGTAATGATAATAAACGATATGATCGGTGACGTGATGCCCGTGACGTATGGCCATACGCCAGCTGAAAAAGCCATCGAGTGCTCTGACCACGTCTGCTGCAGGCATTTAATGCTTCTCTTAATTATCTGTCGCTTCGTGTCTGTAACTTCGCGATTCGTGCCG